AATTTATAGAGATATGGAAAATCAGACTGCGATGTTTTCCTATACTATTAAGTTATCCCCATAAGACATCATTGCCAGTTGATATCCAAGCTTTAAAAACAAATCATTTGTGTATCTTAGGAGTATCACTGGGAGAAGAAGAGGGGGACACTTGGCTCTTTTGTCATTGAAGGAAAAAGGTATTCCTCTAATAGCAGATCATCTTCTTCTTTTTAAAATATTTTTTCAAAAAAGAATCTGGAGAATATAAGAAAGGCAGCACTCCCAAAGGTGGCTGTTAAATGATCTTGCCATCCTTACCACTCAGTGTCTTCCAGCACGAATATGTAATTGGAACTGTCTTCTGGGTGTGGTCAGGCAGACAATGGCGGCAGCCGATATAAAATTAAGAAAAATGCCTGGTGAAAGTGAAATGAGGCAGGATGCTTATGGTAAGGTGGGAGAAAAGGGGGCTGTTGTATATCTTTCTACTCAATCAGACATATGATTTCTGAGCTCTTATTTCAGCAGATATTGGAGTGTTCTGTCTTGAGTGAGTCCCATTAATTACTAGTCAGACCTAAAGGTGGGATTGTTGTGGGGTGTTGGGGGGGGGGAGAAAACTGTTCTTTGTCCTTGCTTCTCAAAGGGTAGTCCATGAATTATACTGAGTGTAGTAAGCCAGGCACAGAAAGAAAAATACCATATGTTCCCACTCATATGTAGAAGCCTATAAAGTAGATCTCACCGAGAAGAGAATAGTGGTCACAAGAGGCTGACAAGGAAAGGAGACAGTGGGAATAGGGAGAGTTATAATTCAGATACCAAAATACAATTAAGTAGGAGGAATAAGCTCTAGCACTCTTTACTACAGTAGGGCCACTGTTGTTTACAATAACTTATCATAATATCTCAAATAACTAGACAAGAGGAGTTTAAAGTTTCCCAACACAAAGAAATGCTAGTGAATCTGATCTGGTCCCTACACACTGTATGTATGTATTGAAATATTGACTATATTCCATAGATACCTGCAAATATTATGTGCCATTTAAGATTTTTTTTTAAAGTGGTCCATGGACCAGCAACAATAGTAGCACCTAGGAATTTGTTTGGAATGCAGAATATCAAGACCCACTGAGACCTACTGAATGGGAAACTGAATCTCCAGGCAAGTTTCATGGCCATTACTATTTGAGAAGTGTTGGTCTACAGGATTAGTCATGACCCAAAGTGGTAGAAAAGGTAGATTATCTGCCCTTGAAGAAAAGCTTACACTGTGTACAGCAGTGCTACACCATCCAAAATAAGAGTAAAAGCTCTCTCATTGTGTTCACTCCCCATGGAAAAATAGCATTCACGATAGTTTATTATATCACCCTATTAATTACTCTCACACCTTTGCATTATCTATATATCAACCAAAAAAGGAAGGGAGGGAAGAAGAAAAGATAGAAAGAAATGAATGAGAGGGAAAAAAGAGAGGGAAAGGAGAAAAGAAAAATGAAAGATAGAAAAATCAAATATTTATTTATTTATTTATTTATTTATTTATTTTACTTTAGCCATGCATCAAGAAGCCTTTTATTTATAAAACCTATGATTTGAACACCCCAACTTCTATTCCTAGGTGCACAACTTCCCTCTTACTTCCTCCAAAACTATAACATAAAGAACAATGAATAAGCTATGTACTTGACACACATAAAGGTATAGGACTTTACATAAGATATTTGAGCAATAATAGAAGCTAAATCGAGGTGATGTTATTTTAAGGAGCAGAGATGGAAAAGTTATAGGCAATGAAGGTTTGCTACAAGGGTCCAGGATACAGAGAAAATCATCTGAAACACATCTCAGAAAATTCTGGCTAGCTCAAAAATTAAGAAGAAAAGCTCACAGGAAATTAGTCTACCACTGGGACACTTTTCTCTGACATTCCCTGTCATGGAATGGATCCATAAAAAGAAAGAGGATTGGTAACCTGACCAGAAGAGAGAGAATAAAGGGTTGTGGGAGGTGGTAGAACTAGAGGACAATGAATCTGTTACCTAAGAGAAGCCTTTTAGTGGGGCAGGGAGTGTCTGATCAGTTGATTTCTACATCCATGAAGAACTAAGGAAAAGAACATAAACTTCCTTTAAACTAAGAAAAGTTTGGATTGGAATTAAGCTTAATTTTCTTTAGACAGATATAAAACTTGGGGCTGACATTAAATGTTACAGATTTGTAGTAATTCACTCTGTGGACCTTCTCCCAAAACAACTATTTCAGTGGTATCTGTGTAAAAATGAACAATGATCAAAACAATCCATATTTGGGAGAAGGATGTGAAAGGGGGAAAAAGAAGATCTCACTTGGCAATGTTGAAGGTATTTCTGGATTGACTGCATGTAGTCAAGTTCAATACTTTGTATACCCACTCTTCTGTGTTACTTCCTCTGTCCAAGTCACCATGTCACAAAAAAAAAAAAAAAAAAAAAAGCCCAGAGAATCCATTTACTAAGGATGGCCGTGCTACAAGGGAGTGTATAAAGTCAGGAACAGACTTTCAGAGATAAGGAGAACGGTTCCTCTCTTTGTAAAGACTGAAGAGGTGAGCAGACAGTTGTAAGAGTTCATAATTTCACCTTTTGGGAAATGAAGGACCCTCCAGCTTTGTACTCTGAATCTAAAATTTTACATCCTTGTATGAGCATGTCTGCCAAATTGTATGATGATACTCTGATGAAAATGCTTTCTGTTCACCTTTAAATTCATTTTTAAAATGAGAAAGCTCTGTTATTGAAAATATGAAAAATAGCCCATAATAGGAAAAAAAAAGAGAAAACCAAGATAGTGGCATTCTATAAAAATTAATAAGTTCAGCATATTTCAGTCAGGGACAGGCATTGCTTCTGAGACAGATGCATGTAAATCTCACCCAAGCAGCATTGTTTTGAAATGTCCCCAGCCTCAGGAAATTGTATTAAGCACAGGAAGGCAGAAACATTGGAGGCATTGGATTCTTGGCCTGAGTTTCTGGTGCAAAGCAGCTAGAATTGGTAATATGTATACTTTTTTAAAATCATGGGGGCTGAATCATTCTTTGCAGACAGATAAGGGAGTTTAAAGAATCTCCTTGCTCAGGGACTTGAGAGTTCTTGTTTACTGTGGATATTACCAATCTAAGGACAATATATAGATGACCAACTTTTCCTTTACTCTAAAATCCATTTCACTAAATATATTTCTTTAATTTAGGGGCAGATGAAATTAGGCTTAGGTTCATATAATCAGTAGCAGTAACTTTTGACATGATGCTACTATTCCCCATTCAGAAAGAGTATTAGATGTGAATTCTTCCTCAAAACTTCTTCCAGAAAATACCTGCTTGTGACTCTTTATTTTTGGCAGTGTCTTTAGTGATGAGCAGCTGGTTTAGGTGAAACTTGCTTCACTGTTTCTTTTTTTAAAAGGCAGAATTAATGTACTAAAGCATTTTTAAATAAAGCTTTCCTGTGCTCTGGTTTGAACTCTTTTACATGTGACCTGACATGACTTCCATTTAAATAAATCTCATTTTAATTAAGATGCTGATTTTATGAAAAATAACTTGCTGGGGGTAAAAAAGCAACCCAACACTTTGTTGTACAGCAAAAATCAATTAGATGAGCATGCACCAAAACATTTATTTTTTTTAATGACAGTTTCAGGCACTTATTTTCTGTTATTTGTTGGCACCTATAAACCAGACAACCCTGGTTAAATCAAATAGGTACCATGACTTGTCTTTGGACTATCAAGTCCAAATTAATCAGATATTTGAAAAATGTTCCAACTTCCCTTCAGCTGAGCTAGAAAATGATAGCACTCTAAAAGCAGAGCCTGGGAAGCCATACTTACATAAAATGCCTTTTCAATTTTTGCACTCTATTACCCTTTACTATTATAGGAAAATGGTGTTATCGCCTGATTACTGAGAAAGCACACAAAAATCTCGCCTTTCAAATCTGAGCCAGTCCTTGACTCCTGATGAACAAAGCCAGGCCATCTGTTCTGAATATCATTACTACTTTGGCCATTTGGGCAAAAGATCTATCCTTTCTGGTTCCAAGATAGGTCCAAGATTAGAAAATTCGAATGCAATAAAAAGGCAGAAAAAGACATTTGAACAAATAGAATTTTCCCATGAGAGCCCCATTTGTTAGGTTATCATTATAATCATTTTAATTTTCATTCTGACCACGAAGTTAATCTTTGGAGTTTCCATTTTTACAAAACGTTTCAGTTTAAAAAAAAAAAAAAAAACTTAATCCCAGAGTTTCTACAGTAAATGCTTAGGAAGGAAAACGGACATGTGGGTGAATATGAGTCATCAGTCACCCCCACCCGCTTCCTGGTGATTCTCCATTGGAAAAACCAGAAACCTGGGTTGAGCTCCCATCTCCGTCTTTCTGGAAATCACACTATGCCTCAGGCCATGTTAATTTTCTGAACTAAACAGTCCCTAGTCTGTAGAAAGGCAGCTGGCTAACTGCTGGTGTCTGGCAAGTACCCCATCTGTCCCCGTGTGCCGGGGTCTCTCCTTCCTGTCTTCACTTTCCCTTTCTCTCAAGCAGACGTCTCTCTTTGTTTTCAGGGGTGTCATTCCCCTGAACTTTCCCTCCTCTGCCTGTAAACTTGAGCTCCTTTCCACTGCCCTGCGGACCTGGGGCTTTGTCTAAGTGGGAAGACACAGTTGTGTTGACTGTAGTTACCGCGCCGGTGATGGTGGAGATGATGACGGCGGCGATGGTGGAGATGGGGGTGCCGATGGTGTAAGGGGGCGCAGGCTGAGCGGGCGCCGGAGAAGGAGGAGGAGGATGGACCGCGGAGGCGGTGGAGAGTGGGGTGCAGGAAGGGATGGAGCGCAGAGAGATTGCAGATGGGAGCTGTCCACGCACCAAAGTGCTGAAACGCCGCAGCCATGGCATCGCAAGACCCGGGGAAAGGCAGGGAGGCGCGCAAAATACAGAAGGGAGAAAAAAGGCAACAAATACCTTCACACAAGCCGCCCAGCCTTGCTTTGGGAATGTGTTTCTGCAGGTGTCCTCGCGCGGCTGAACGGGGTGGGTGAGATCCCCTATTCTGGCAGGTTCGAGCTCAGATTTCTCTAGAAAGCTGTGAATGAGAGCCTGGGCTCCACGGGGCTGTGATTTTTGGTAGGAGGCGTGTGCGCCCGAGACTCTGTCCTTCTATACTGAGCCTGGCTTTCCCCTGGGTCCTAAATGCCTCCGCATGGTGGTTCTCCCCCATTTCGTCAAGACAGTACCAGAAATTATTGTAATTTGTTAACAGCTGGGACCCAAAGTACCGGAACTGACACTCCTACACAACGTTAAAAACAGAATCTTTTAAACGGATTAAACAGATTTCTGTGTATATGTGTGTTTGTGTAAAAATTTGACAGATGAAAAAGTATCCACGAAGCTACGGGGAAAAGAATGCATCTTTTATTAACAAATAGTGTTAGGAAAATCAGTCACTTGAAAAGGCTTGAATTAAAGCCCATCTCACCAAAATAAATCACACACAGATGAAAGAGTTTATGGGGGGGGGGGTTACAAATAACTAGAAGAAAATAATATTTTATTGACTTGTGCTTAGGTTTTTCTAAGCACAAGAGGAATAGAAAAAATATAAAAAATCCATAAATTTGAGTACATAAATACTTCTTAATCTTAAAATGTCAAAATACGTAAATATAAATTATTACTTGGAAAAAATTATAATATGTGTTTTATATAAAATACCTCATAAATCAAAAGAAAGACACTAACAACCTCATGGTAAAAAGGAAGAAGGTCAAATGATGTAGAATTCCAGAAGGAGAAGACACAATAAACACTTTTTAAAAATCAGCCTCATCACTAAAGAGATATATGTAGTTTAAAATAGAGAGGAAGAAAGAAAGAAAGAAAGAAAGAAAGAAAGAAATTGATTGATTAAAATAGCACTGAGGTATATTTTGACTGAAGTTTTAACTCCACATGTATCTCATATTGGTGTGATAATAATAAGAAAGTATAACCTTTCGATAAATCTGTTTCACAATATACACATCAAGTGTTGTAAAATATACATAATATTTAGACCCACCAATTCTACTTTTAGCACCTTTTGCTGATGATCTATTCAGATATAAGATAATGATTTACATATATATGTAAATATATATGTATATATATACATATTTCATTTATCATTATACAGTTGTCAAAAATAAAAGCATTAATTTTTGTAGATACTCTGTAATATATGCAGACATTAAAAACATAGCCTTGAAGACTAAAGACAAATGGAAACACTTGCAAAATAATAAGTGAAGAAAAATCAGCACCCCCCATTATTAATTTGATAAAGCCAGAATATAGTATGATAAGATTATAGGTGAATTTGGTTTTGCCAAGGTCACTCAATTCTGTTTCTTTTATTTGTCTAATGTTTTCATATTTGCTAAGAAAATCCTTGTGAAACACTTAAAAGCATTCTCTTAATAATGTTTCACAGAAATTTAAGTCATCAGTATTTTCTTAATCTTTATATATTAGTACATATGTATTTGTTTACTATCTCTGAAATAGAATGTTAGCTTCGTGTGGCAGCATGATGTCTCTTTGTTCATGACTAAGCACTTAGAAATGAGCCTGAAACATCACAAGAGTGATGAATCTGCTGAAGAATAATAAATAGAAAATAAATGAATGATGTAATCCAAACACACATGTAGATATATTGAAAATGTTTTGTCAATCTATGAATTTCATTTAGAAATGTTATCTGAACTGCATACCAAAATGATCTGAGGCTGATGCTGAGTTTGATCACATAAACTCAATTACATGCAACTTCAAAGATGCAGCTAATCATGGACAAAACTATCAAAGTGGTACCAAATGTGAATATTGTTAAAGGAAAACATTTTCTCCAATTAATTCCCATTTACTCTTAATTTCCTCTTGATCTGACACTACTAAAAGTTTTATAGACTTTCCTTTCCTTTAAGATATTAGTATTAATAATTCTGTTTCTCTCCCTTGCTTCCTGAATCCCATCCCTACTAACAACAACAACAACAACAACAAAAAAGAAACACACAACCTAGGTATTTCAAAGGTCTATAATTTTAAAAATCTTTTCTTTGAAATTTAAAATGCATTTGGATACATTTGGTTGGCTTCTGTTCCTTTTCACTTATTCTTCACTATTGATTATGCCTTTTGAATAATATCAGTGATAACAAAGCCAAGTTTTATCTGTATTTTCCACACTTTGAAGCAGCAATTATATTTATGATACGCACTTTAATCATATTCATATAATCATACATATGAAGATCATATAAATGTAGATATTCTACTTTTCAAGAAATTTTTACAAAAGAAAATAATCACCGCTTAAGCGAAGCTGATATATAATACCAGATTGCTGCTATCTGATCTTGTAATGGGAACTATGGAGATGGCAGAGGACCACAGAGGTGATGGGCTGCCAAAATAGAGTCCTATATTTTGCAAATTTTAAAAGCAAGTTTAAAATTCACTTTCACTGATAGGAGTTCAAAAATATTATTTTATTATTATTATTAGTTGTTCAAAACATTACAAAGTTCTTGACATATCATATTTCATACATTTGATTCAAGCGGATTATGAACTCCCATTTTTACCATAAAATATTATTTTTTAATTAATAAAAAATTGTAATTACTTAGAAGCATTCAGGATGTCAACAAAACAGCTGCAACTTTGGTTTTTGGATTTTTGTTTTGTTTTGCAATTACAGAGTGGTATTCAATTAACAGAACAACAATTAATTTGTAGAAGCTGCATCAGAGAAAACTGAAGATGAAAAACTACTGCCTGCATCTATAACTAATTTGTGCTGTGCACCATCAAGAACCTGCTTTAAGTTTCCATGCCAATTTACAACCCCATAGTGTATCAGGCAAGGTTAGTGGCTATTGAAAATACCACCAGCACAGCTATCTAAAGACACATTTGGTAGTGAGTTAACTATACAAAAAAAAAAAATAAGAAATAAAAAAAATAATAAGGACACTGTACAGTTTAAATACAAATCTTACACAGCCTTACATTTTGTTTTCTTTAAAAGGAGTGAGTTGTGTACAGGGGGGTTAAATGCTTTATAGAAAAGAAAAAAAAAACTGTGCTAAAGCCAACTTATTCATCATCATTATCTTCTTCATCTTCCTCTTTCTCATCTCCCTCCTCTTCCGTCTTTTGCTTGCTTTTTTCAGCCTTGACAACTCCCTTTTTGGCTGCATCAGGTTTTCCTTTAGCTCGGTAGGCAGCAATATCCTTTTCATATTTTTCCTTCAGCTTAGCAGCTTTCTTTTCATAAGGCTGCTTATCACCTGCAGCAGTGTGATTCCACCTCTCTCCCAATTTATGTGCAACATCACCAACAGGCCAGGAGGTTCTCCTTTGATTTGGGGGCGATATTCAGAACAGAACTAGAAGGCCAATGGAAGCCCTTTGAGTGCATTGGGATCCTTGAACTTCTTTTTTGTTCTTTCCCTTTAGGAGTGATATAGTTTTCATTTCTCTTTTTATAACAGGCCTTGTCCACCTTTGCCATGCTTGGTCTGTCTCCTGCCATCACAGCCATTGCAGTACATTGAGTTCCACAGAGACAGTGCTGGAGCTGGTCCGACACTGGGCCCGACTTGGTGCCTCGCTGAGGAAAAACAAGAATCTGAGAGGCAAAAGGTTATCATATGCATTCTTTCTGCAAACTCGCCAGAAGGAGTACAAGAAGAAGCACCCAGATGTTTCAGTCAACTTCTCAGAGTTTTCTAAGAAGTGCTCAGAAAGATGGAAGACCATGCCTGCTAAAGAGGAAGGAAAATTTGAAGACATGGCCAAAAAATATTACTTTAAAAAAAAGTCACTTTCACTGATGATTAGGACAAATGTGCTTGATATATTAAAAGGTTACCTTTTCCCCAAAGTGCCAATGAAAAATGTACACTTCCCCTTTACATTCATTACTTTTATCACTAGAGTTTATGATAACACTATTTCATAGAAATCCCTATATGAAAAATGAGTGGATAAAGAATATGTGGTATGGGCTGGGGTTTGTGGCTCAGCGCTTGCCTAGCACCTGTGAGGCATCTGTGAGGCACTGTAGAGCACTTGCCTAGCACCTGTGAGGCACTGGGTTTGATCCTCAGCACCACATAAAAATAAATAAATAAAATAAAGATATTGTGTCCAATTACAACTAAAAAATAAATAAATATTTAAAAAAGAAAATGTGGTATATTTACCTAACAGAGGGGTATTCAATCATAAAGAAGAATGAAATTATGTCATTCACAGGAAAATTGATGTAATAAGAGATCATCATGTTTAGTGAGATAAGCCAGACCCAGAAAGATAAATATCACATTTTCTCTCATATGTGGAATCTAGAATGAAAAAAAAAAGTAGGAGAACTCTTACAGAAGGTAAGGAAAGTGGGGGGGGGTGCGTAAGAGAGGGTAATAGGGGAGGTACATTTGATCCAAGTACAAAATATAAATGTACAAAATTGTGACAAAGAGACCCATTATTTTGTACTCTTAATATGTGACAATAACTATAATAAGAGAAGAAAATATATGGAATCCTATGTAAGATGAACATTCTGTTTGTTATTAAATGTTTTACAGTACTTTTAAAAGCACCATATAGTATTACATCATATACATAAACCTCAATTTATAACTCATTCTTTTATTTTCTTTCCCATTTTTTCCAAAATAAAATTAATGCTATAATAAATGGATATTACTTTGTGTATCTAAATATTTTTGCAAATCTCTAATTAATTCCTTACAATAGATTTCTAATTGTGCAAAAAAAAAAAATCCTATGTGAAAATGACTGCACCTTGCTGAACACATGTATTCTCTGTGTTGTTTGTATTTTGTTTGTTTCCTGGGAACCAGGATATCTTTAGCTCAAAGGTTTTGCTTGATAACTATAAAACAGAGTCTTCTCCAGTAGTTGCTTTCTTTCATTCACCCTGATTGACATTGTGCTGATATATTGCACACTCTGCTCAACCTCTTTTCAGCACTTCACACTGCAGCTGCCTATGCATTTGTTGCCAGGATTTCTCTATGTACCCCTTAATGCATAAACAGCTGATGACAAGGG